GAGGACCGAAGTTGCCTGTCCCTGCTTAGAACAAGGTCCCAGCTCAGCTGCACAGGGGTTGCAGTTGCAAGACACATAGCTGGCATCAGATTTTTTGCAGCAGTTGTTGGAAGCAGCTGGAAGTAAGAACGCTTTTGCATTCAGTTGCATTTTACTAAGATCTGAGATGTTGAGATTAAACATAAAAACTGCCTTACAACAGAGGTCTCCAATCCTGCTCTGGAGGAGCCCTGTTACTCTTGTAGGTCACCAAAGACTGGGGAACATCTGCATGTTATTGATCAGTAGTGTATACGTTATATGTTATGTATATAATAAGTAATATGTTTATTTAAAGAGCTCTGGCCCTTGAAAGCTGATGCGTACTCAGAATGCAGTCCAAAAAAATCTACGAATGCCAATGAAGATGGGCAGCGCGTGGTTAGAATTGCCGCCTTGCTGCGCTGGAGCCCTGGGTTCAGTTCCAGACCTGGGATGCTGCCTGTGTGGAGTTTGTATGTTGTCCCTGTGTGTAACGCCCGGTTCTCTTTCCGGACCCTATGCGGACGACACAATCCGGGGTTGAGTGAGTATACACAAGGGAGAAGGTCATGCAGGATACGGGGATGAAAACAGGGGGCGTGTCCTTGTTGCGCTGGTGTTCGGGGGAGGTGTGGCCAAGGTAACACGATCCAGGAGAAAATCCAAGGGCGAATCCAAACGAAGGCAAAAGTCCAAAAACCAGGCAGTCCATGCAAGACAAACAAGATTTAAAAACGGGAACCGGATCGGAACCGGTGGGGAACAGGAACAGAAAATAAAACCTTAACGGGACCAGGCGCTTCCAGGTCCCGGACTCGCCTGGTGCGGAAACCAGAGCACAGCCCCGAATAAAGTGAGCGCCTGGCTTTTAAGGAGAACTGAAAGGGGGTTGGAACAGGGAGCAGGTGCGGGCGATGAGTGGAAAACAAGGAAGGGCTGGAGCGTCCTTAAGAGGAGGGGTCTACGAACGTGACACCGTGTTTGCATGGGTTTCCTCCCACACTCCAAAGACGTGCTGGTAGGTTCATTTGGATCTGGGAACATTGGCCCTGGTGTGAGTGTGTGCAAGTCTGTGTAAGCCCTGCCTTATGTCTGTTGCTTGCCAGGACAGGCTGCCCCTGTTGCTTGCCAGGACCAAGTGCTTAGAAAAGCAAATGATGGTTGACATCAAACATTTATTAAAAAAGTGTTCACCAGTAAAACCTGCTGAATTAGGGCTCTCCACAACCCGATTTGGGAATTCCCACTCTTCCCCAGATATGTAAAGTGATAAATAGACGGGGGAAAATTCTGACCATTTCCCAGACTAGTGTGCACATCAGCTGTGCTGTGGCCCTGCTCTCTCCTCTCTGTGTTTGTGTGTTGTGCTTCATCCTTGAACCCCTGCCTTCAGGTGCCATGTGTATGAATCAGCCCTCATGTTATATTGTTTTATAAAGCTGAGTGCAGGTAATTGTTAGTCAGTTGGCTGTAAAATTGCTGGAAGCAAAGAGTTATCGGTTTTCCCTAGAGGATGACGCATGCTTTCTAATGTTTGCAGATTAGTGTGGGATTGAGGTTAAGGCAGAGAACAGGGGAGTAGGTGGCTTACAAATCAGGAGCACTTTTCCAGTTTGGATTTACATACAGCCTGTGCGTGTGAATGCAGAGATGGTGGGTCTCAACCTGCTAGTTTCCCAGCCGGGGTTCAGATTGTTTGGATTAACTGCATAATTCAGGATTGTTTATCCCTGGGTTTATGAGAGTGGTTTTGTAGAGACAAGAATTATCCTATGCAGCCAGGGTACACTAAAAAATAAACCGTAATGAAATGTATGATGGTTGGCATACAGTAGCTAGGTCAAATAAGCCAATTACAGGTTTACCAAATGTAGTTTCTACCATGAGTTTTGTTAAGAACTCTAGCAGACAGAATAGGCAAAAAAACAATGCATGTTTTTTACAGAATGCCTTAGGTTGAAGAGAGACAGGGGAATTACAAAACAAATTTGTACCGGTAGAAAAGTTAAGTGACTTGTCCTTGGTATATCGGGCGATGATAACTGAGTCATTTAGTAGTGACTGAACAGGCATTAATGCCTGAGGATCCTGAGAATCTTTAACCTTCCCTAGAAACTGCTAGAGCCCAGCGATTCTTGGGCAGCAGCCAGACACCTCATGGGAGTGAACTGCCACCACCTGGCTTTTAAACTAAAGACCTTACGCCGTGCTTTCTAGTAAAGAGGGGGGTAACTGTCCATCTGTAAGAAAAGATCAGGGACTCGCAAACGTGCTGAGATTTTGTTTACTATGAACGCAAAGGGATGACACAGTGGCGCAGTGGTTAGCATTGCTGTCTAACAGCACCGGAGCCCTGGTTTCAATTCCAGATCTGGGGCACTGCCTGCATGGAGTTTGCATGTTCTCCCCAGGTTTGTGTGGGTTTCCTCCCATAATCTGAAAACATGCTGGTACAGAGGTTGTGACTTTAGCAGTAAGAGGTAGCGGGGGTCTGGAACAAACTGCCTTCAGGATTCCTTCATGCTGGATGAGATCTTGGATCAGTCAGCTTCCAGCGACGAGGCCGGCGAGATGGGCCGATTGGTTCCGTCCAGTTTCCTCCTTTTGTCTTTTTAAAAAGAATTATTTGGGTTACAAAGAGGCTGTCTTTTAATGTGTGACTGTACAGGAATTCTTATAGTTTAGGAATGTTATCCAGAGAGTCACGGCTTCTTGTCTAAAGCCCAAAGTGAGCTGATAAAAATGCCATTTCTTTGCTGGCGAGGGAAGGGCAGCCACAGGAAGCCTGGCTGGAGCTGCGAGCTCACGCCTCGCCACGGTGAAGACTGGCAGCGCTGCAGGTCTGCTTTTTCTGCTCCCCGGGGGGCTACTTCTCACCCTCCCTGTGTGACAGGTCCGCTGCTCCCTTCGCGGATTGTGATAGTTTTGTGTGCGGAACTAATACAAGAGTGTTTAAAAAATACAATCTGGGATACATACCCCGATGGGCATTTTCCGGTTTTAAAAAGGCAGTTATGAAAAAAAAAATCCTGTTCCTTTTCTCCGTATCTGTACCGGTCCGGTCACAGAGCCCCGAGGGACCGGGGGCATTTCGCTCCTGCTCGCAGCCCTCTTGACCTGTCCGCGCCGTGACATTGCGAGCAACGTGGAAACCATCCGGGCGGCGCAGATGAGAAGGAAACGTGTTGCTTTCCCTGGGTTGTCTATATGGGAGCAGCACAGGCAGCTGCCAGGGCCCGGGGTCACAGGCTGGTGTCTCCAGTCCGGCGGCTGTGGCGCTTGGATCGGATAGACGCCCAAGCGGCTGCCGGTCCTCCTCTGTCTGGGCGGTTGTAATATTAAAGGGCAGATCCGCTCTTACCGGGGTTGACTGTACCCGCGCTTTAGCGTCGGCCTTCCGGGGGTCCAGTAGTGTGGCGCGGTTTTTTTACCTGCTGTAAATTTCATGAACGATTGGGACCTTATGTGCAACAAAAATAAGATAACGAGTAGTGCACTGATGAAAATCAGCAATAATAATAATAATAATAATAAAGTTGGGGGAGCACGAGTCGCTTCACATTAATTCTTCGCCCCTTTCATTGTTACAACAGTGCAGTTATTATCACTGTTTGGGTCTCTAACCATGTCGACGCCCTCTGTGCGCTTGTCCTTTCTACAGTACAGTAGCCCATCTTGTTGAGAAAATAGAGGCAGATCTGAACGGCGCGTACCCGTTTTCTCTGACACGGAACGTACCGTAAATTGTCTGGGGGGCCGTTCAGCTGGATAGAAGTAAAATAGGCTTCATAGGGACAGAAAGGATACAGCGCCGGGCGAGGTCAGGGCTCCCACTCACGGCAGGATGTGCGCTCGGGAGAAAAGCTACAAGGCAGTTATTTCAATTGGACGGTCTCCAACTGAAGGGGGTAGCAAGCGCTCTGTCGAAGCAACAGCCAGCCTTGGCGCAGCTGCACGCCTAGCCCAATCCACCTGGTTTCCCGAGAGGCCGCATTATTCTGAAAGGCGGCTGTGTGGAAAACACGCGTGCAGACAATAGCCGGCACAGTGACGACCGGACGAGCTCGCGCCGCGTCCGGCGGTCCAGCCACGCGTTCGTGCTCGCGCTCGCAGCCGAGGATCTGAGGATCTGCCAAATCGAGGAGCGCCGAGTTCAGGGACTGACCGTCTTAAGACGTCTGGTCAATGGGCGATTCTTACATCACGGGCTTCATTAGGATAAGACAACAGTCCTTACATAAGGCAAAGGGCCGATGAAAAATCCGAAATCTGAGACACCACAGCGTGGTGCAACTAAATGAAAAGTCTGTGCCATTAGCCAGCACCCGGAATGTAACGAGAGCTGCGCAAATCCTCCTGTTATTAGTTTTCCTTATTCGTTTAAATGACAATCGATCATATGCTTTCACAGTAAGAGTATGGACTCTGATTAAAATCTGAAAGTCGTGTCTTTTAAAGGGTAAACAAAGATCTCCTGTAAAAGTAAATAAAACATTAGTTTAACATGAGGATGTCTTCGCCAATACCAGCCACACACCACAAACCCAACTTTTTCAGGGACAGGCTAAAGTGAGCTATGAAGACTCAGGCGGTGTGTTCTGCTCAACACAAGACAACGTGAAGACTTAAGTAGGAAGAAACAGGTGTTACCTGCGTTCGTTTAAGGACGCACACAGACGAGGTCATGCGGGCTGTGCAGGACGGTTTAGATACAGTCAGCCTTATAATATAAAAAACAATACCAAATTAAATCGGTTCAAATGGTAATATGTATCAACTAATTGAAGAAAAATGACCTCGGAACAGATTTATGCTGTTGCGAATAGCTTGCGCTCTTTGGGTAACAAGAGCGGTCGTTTAACATAAATTTTATGACAGCTCCCCTCCTCTCCCAGGCGATACAGGTAGCAATTAATAGTGGGTGTTCCGTATTGTGGATTTGGGAAATCGAGTTTTTCAGTGTCATTATAGGAAATTCCAGTGTGGTGAGGGGTGTGTGTCGATATTCTGAGTGTCGCCCCCCTCCCCGCCCGCTTATCACTCCTCCAGAAAGCATAGTGGCTAAACGCGCAAAGCGCCTTTGCTGAGCGGAGGAGAGAGAGAGAAGGGAGAGAACCCGAAGCGAACCTTTTCCGTCCGGGTTCCAGAACCCCGGGATCGCGAGCGGAGGCGCGCGCGCTTCGGGAGGGTGCACGGACCGGGAACCTCAGCCAGCGCGAGGGAGGCAAAGCGAGACAGCGCGACGCAGGCACAGGTAGCGATGTCGGAACAGGCGTAATGGTTTATCACGAATCTAACAAAAACAGCGCCGAAAAGCTGAGAAGAAAGAAGAGAGAGCGAATGGGCAGACGAAAGAGCGAAAGAGAGACTTGAATAATCTTTAATTGGCTCCGGGTTTCAATGTTTGACAGGCTAGAGGGGAGAAAAGGGAAGACAATAAAAGAGAAATCCCCCAATTTTATGTTCAGAAACGACACCGAAGACTACAGTTACACTGGGAACAGAAAAAGAAGAAACACTGAGCGAGGAGGAAATGTCACTTCACAAGAAGCAGAACCACGAAATAATATTTAAATGACAATGTGTGTATGTGGCTGGTAAATCAGCTTTCATAGCATTTATTTTTGAGAAGGAGGAGAGATCCGAGAGAGAGAGCTGCTGTTAACCCACAGTGCGGTCGTTCCAGTTGCAATAGATTCTCAATTGGAGCGTCAGAGCTGGAAATAGAATGATTGCAAACGAAAAACTGACAGGCAGGTACAGGCGCTCGCAGCAATAATACCCAGTGCCCTGTACTGTGCGGGAGGGACAGTCTGCGAGGCTGCAGGCACAGTGGGTTTGCAATAAGCGGACTGATAAAAGCAATAAATTCTACCATAAAGCGATCATACTGCGCCGTGAGCGACGAAGCGCGTAACTTCAGGTTATTTCGTTCCAGCTGTCGTTTTTCTTTATCTGCTACGCTGGGTCCTGTGTGATTCGGGGGCCGGAAAAAAAACCCAAGCGAACAAACAATAAACCTACTGTATCTGGATTTAAATAATAAAACGAAGTTTTCGGTCTGGGGACTCACCGTGGTAGCCTAATTGCTGAGGACTACACGGGAGTAACAAAAATAACACTTCATCGGAGCCTTTTGAGCGCACAAATTCCCAACTCTGCCTGACATTTTGCACTGTGATGGATTTTTTCCTTCTGTATTTTTTTACATTTCTCTTGCAGGGGATACATTATAAAATAATATGTATGTCTCGGCGGCACTGGACCGGAGTGCGCTGAGAGGGAGAAATATACAGCACTAGTATTGCTTTTGTTGATCGCTTATATTAATATAAATACAATAATATTAGACATATTTATTTTCCAAAGTATTCTTAATAGCCAAATTGTTAGCTTTTTTTCCCCTCCGTGTTCGAAAATCGGGGGGGGTCTCACAATCTGTACACATATTATTTGCACTAATGATGGAACCACCACCTTGCTCGAAGAAGAGCCTGTCTCTCTCGCTGCCCGTGCCCCGGGAAGGACAGGCTACTCTCAAGCCTCCTCAGCACCTATGGAGGCAACCGCGGACTCCCATCAAAATAAAGCACCGCGGCTACTCGGATACCGACCGGCACCACCACCGGCAGATCGAGCGCTCCAATGCCATGGACACCAGCGACCGGCCGGGGCTCAAGAAGTCTCGGATGTCCTGGCCCTCGTCCTTCCACGGCACGACCAGCACCTCCAGCAGCAACAGTGCCGGCAGCAAACGGTAAGGGCTGCACCTCTCATTCCCCGGCGCCCCCCGTGCTAGTCTTCAGCTTTCCGCGAATTTATTGTTATTTTATTTCCCCGTGCAGTGGCGTTCTGGGTTTCAAACAAAAGCCGGTCTGGGAAGGGGAACTTGTGGGAGTACCACAGCGACCCGCATTTGAAAATGGTTCAGTGTGCGAAGCGAATGTGGGAGGGAGTGGGGGTTCGCTCTGAATTGGGCTCCCGGAAGTGGGCTGAACGAGTAACGGGTTACAGAAACACGTTTCGCACCGGAAACTTGGCTGCACACCAACCTTTTTAGGGTCCATATCAAGCACTTAAAGAACCATGGCATGGGCTCAGTTCTCCAGAGGGCGAATGCGCGTGCTTGTGCCGGAGGCTGCTTTGCCGCGCACGGCTGCTCTGTTGCTCCCGGCAGAGAGAGAAGTCCAGCGTGCTTGTTCGGGGAAGTTGGAGGTGGAGACTTGTCCTGGGTGCCAGTCTCCCGGTCAGAACGGAAAGACGTGTTCAGAAGGCAGAGTGGGATGTGGACTGTGGATTCCTTTGTAGCGTGCTTGTGTTTGTAAGCGTTGGCTCCAGTCTGTAAACGTTGTGGCCCAATACTTGGCTTCACTGTGGCTTTTGGCAGAGAAGGTTTGGCTGTATTTTCGCTGTAAACGACTGGTTTACACATTTAAGTTGTCACTAAAGAGGAGATTACCTTCAAGGTATAACCGTTGAATCCAGTCAATAATTATAACGGCATTTCTGTAACGCATTCTTTGAAAATAACGAAGGCAAACTATCAACGTGGCTGTTTGTGAAGTCTTTCCCTCTCTCTCTCTCTCCAGGCGCATGAGCTGTCTTTCATTTCTACCAAGAGAGTGCAGCTTAATCAATACAGACTCTTTAACTGTTCAGTGCCATTCCTACGCCCTCCAGGAAAAACCCAATCTGAATAATTGTTTCTTGCAACTCCACTGTCTTCATAGGAGACCAAACACGGGCTGAGCTGTATAAAGTCTTTTGCAGTTCCCTGATAACATTTCCTTTATCCTGATATTATATTTGGGAAGTATTTTGCACCAGGAACGTAACTACTGTATATATCTTTAGTTATTTATGAATAAAGAATTTATATTGCAAGGTAGACAAGCTGTGTTGTTAAGGGACATAACTCTTTGCTTATTCAAAGACGTGCACCATGTGAAGGGAAATGATTCATATTTCTATTGTTTTTTCCCCCAGGGATTTAAATGTCAACTATTATGGTCTGTCTGAAATGGCAAAGCACATGCAAATTGAGTTTTTTTCCTTAAGCATGATGTGTTTTTTTCCCCCCGAATTTAAAAGAAGGTTGGCAGAATAAGACAGTAGTGAAATCACTTTTTGTCTCGTGGATAAATTGCTTCTTCCTGTTTTTGTACTGTTAAACTTTCACCATAGGGCTAGTCAGAATTGATTTTGTTTGAATTAGAGCCCAGATGCTCAGATGTGTAATAGAAAACGAATAAAAACAACCTTTTGTGTCTATTTACAGAATGGTATTCAGAGTTCATAAATATAAGGTTCTTAGCTGGCTTGCAGAAATTTTCAAGGCCAATGTGATGAAGTTGTTTTTAAATCAAAGTGAATTTTTTTCTCCCAATCACAGACGTGCAGTTTCTCTCATTATTTTTCCTGTTGACAGTATTGACTTCTGTTTCCTTTCCAGAACAGCCGGTAACCTGACTCCCAATCATTGTCTTTGGTTCGGGGCTATGTTGACTCATAGGAAGTGGTGCAGCTTAGCTTTGTCAGTGCTTGTAGAATTTCAGATTCCTTGATCAAATCGCCTTCAAAGTCTTCATCGCTCGAGGCAATTAAAAAGTTCAGATTCTTCCATTCTTCCCATATCTGACCATTTTGGCTGCTGTACTCCACACTCTTTCAAATGTTGTAGGGCTGTGTTTATAATGTGGTCACCAGATGTGACCACAGTGTGTAGATTAGGTCAGGCATAGCAGTGCACTGTAGACTTTCCTGCTGATGAGGGCCGTTCTCTCGGCAGACTTGTGCTGTTTCATTGCCCCAGTGAGCTTCCATCCTTTTGTGTTGCACATGCTTTTTACATCCACACCTTCAGAAAAACAGATAACAGAATTTACTGTTGCACAGTTAAAGAGCAGGTTGCTCCAGAATTGTGCAGTGTAATGGATTGCAGTGTTCCAGCAACAAGCCCTATTGATGCAAATGTGACGCTTCCCTATGATTTGCTGTGCTGTTTTGTGTTGTTGTTGATGTTGTTCAGCACATCTAGCCTGGGGCTTGTTTCAAACTGCCCGGGCATTACTAATTTAATTTTTGTTTAGTTCATTTGCTACGTGACACAGCAATTGTGTGTTTCGAGCATACAATTTTCCATGTTTGTTTTCCAAATCTTTAATATAGTCTTTTTGTCCTATGCTGCTCTACTGTATGTCTGCCTGACTGGCCTGCTGTCTGGAATACACTTTATTGCAGTGAAAATGGCAGAGACTCGAGCAGGAGAAAGGCCGGACCGATTTGTTTGGGATGAAGTATTACAAAAAGAGATGGGTGTGCATTTGCTCCCCTTTTGTGATTTTATTTCCAAATGTACATTGATTGAGTTAGATGAAAATTATAGTACGCTGCTCTCATGGGCTCTTCAGTTCTGATTAAAAAATCAGATGTGGCATTTTCCTTTGCATCACGGTTTTTTATTGTTTCCATTCCCCAGCTGTGGAGTTTAGTAAATTATGTATTCTAACATAAAATTTGAGTTGCATATCAACATGGCCGTTGTGTTTGAATGTTTAGTGGTCAATGGATATGCATGGCATTCGGCATCTTGTGTTAGTCGTTGTTTTACAGCCCTGCTTTTCCTTTATGTGATCCTTGCTATCATGTACAGTACATTCCAATTTATTGGTTATTGCTTTAACAGAACAGAAGTCTCAGGCAAAAATTGAAAACTGTGCTCTTAATAACACACTTTAAAAAACAAATGTGTTTGCAAATTAATGCACCTCAACAAAGCAAGACTGATACAGGCTGCCGCAGAGCTCTTCTTCTTTTCTGGGCTCTCTCCCTCTTGTCTTTAGAGCAACAGTTTCCAGGACAAGCTCTTGAATGTGGGACCGCGCTTCTACAATATGTGCACTGCAGGCTGGTGATCCCTTCAAAATAAAGACCATTGTATTACAACAAGACCAGCAGAACATAGGTCTGTAGGGGTTTTAATAATAGTTATGAAGGAACAAACATTGTGGGATTTCTTTAATCATGGGCATGAATCTGGCTTTGATGGAAGGAAAAGGGGTAGAGTTTGTTACTCCAGTAAGCCAGGCATTGTTTAATGGCCAGTATCCATTTCCGTAGCTGCGTGCTATCTGTTTGAATAAGCCATTAGAACTTGACTTAGGTCATTAAGCCTGCTGCATCTTCTTCTTTAAATTCATTAGTATCATGGAAAAAAAGAACAACAGTTAATCTCAACAGTTAAGTAAAATGTACATTTCATTTTTGAAAATTAAACTATTTGTAATGCCCATGTAGATTTCAATTTAATAAAACAGCAGACATTCCTTATTTTGCTAAAATCTAATTTCCGTGAGTAAAGAGCTGCATGTGTAATCACACATTCTGTGACAGAGTGGTTTAGTAATGTATCCTGGTGAGCTAATTAAATTGCAGGGTTCTTTTACAGATAGTTTTTTTTTTATTAAAATAGACTCTTTTTTTGCTGTTGTGTAAAGAGGTGTCAGTTATTCTGAAATAGTGTAGCAGCTTTTGTAACTCCTCATCAGTCAGATGGACTGGTAAGGGACAAATCTGGCATTGAACAGGAAGATTCGACAGGATTTGCCCGTTGGCAAAGGGAGCTAAGCAAAATCAAATCAAACTCAAAATCAAAACTGATCTGCTCACCCAATTTTTAAATCCCACTGACCTCTGAATCGCTACGACCTGGTACAGAAGAGATTTTGACAGGAATTTGATTGAAGTTTTCCAAATCCTCAGAGGTTTTGATAAAATCAGCCCTAGAGATCAAGTTTAGGATTGAAACAGGGTTGCAGTAGAAAATTAATGTGAGATGCTTTTAGGACTGATGACAGAAGGGACTTGTAAAGGGCCTCTGAGCCTCGGGGGCCCGGAAAAAATGCGCAACCAGGTTGTTGAACCTGATGTGTTTATAATCTTCTAAGAAGCTGTCAGTCTTCTCAATTGTACATGCATTCAGACCTACAATATTATGAGTTTTATTAACGTTCTGCATGATTGAGAATGCAGCTTTTCCTCTGTGAGCTATGCTGTCTTTAGCTTCCCATGCTAGTGTACAGACAAACAATGATTTCTGCAGCTGCCTAATGTGAACTCCTACATACGTAATCCAATCCATCCCAAACCTCACATGAGACAGCTGCAGAAAACACAGTTGTTCCCTACCATGTAAATGGCGAGCTACTGTTAGAAGTATGAAAAGCTAATGATTTCAACCCTGGCTGAAGATTTATAGCTCCCATCCTGCAACATCTATCCATTATTAGAAAATCCTTTAACTTTGGTAAGGACCATGGAAACCTTGAGCCTCTCCAAGAAGCTTTGTGAGGGAAGCAGTACTACACAGATGTGTGAGATGTCATACCGGCAGGTGTTTTAAAATATGGGAGAAAAACAGATCAAAAAAGTGCCCAACTCTAACACAGCAGTGTTTTCAGACTGTCCACCATGCTGTCACACACCACAATAATTACATGCAAATGATTGCATCTTTACAGGTTTAATGCATGTACTATTCCAGACATCAGATGCAAGAAAAAGCCGTATGTGATTCTGGGATCAGTTCGTTGCTAGCAATCAAGCAAGTGGGGCCAAATGGCTTTGTCTCATTTGTAATCCTTCTTAAATTCTTATCATCCAGTAAGAGAGTGCTGTGATGGAATTGTCTTCTGTGACATTGACATCCAGTACAGAGACCTGCTTTTAGCTTTTAAATGAAAAAAGAAAACAAAAACA